CTGCTATTTTCAATGACTACTTATTTTTGTCCAGCTTTAACATCGGTATCGATATCGGTTATCGGCTACATGAGTTTTAAAATATCGGCATATTGGATATCGGCCAAAATAACAATATCGTGCATCCCTAAACGGAAGCCCAAAGTGTGAATGTGTAAAGCAGAAAGACACATGGAAGCCAAGACAAACCATTGCCTCTTTTCCTCCTCCTTTCCACGTCTCCCCGGTTGCATTTAAGCAGCATATTGACTTTATCCTTTCCTGTTCTATCTAAAGAATAAAGGATTTATATTAAAACTGTGCGTCATTGGGAAGAATCTATAGTGGATATCCAGCATGCCTGACAAAACACATCCAATCCAACCTCCACACTTATGTAACACAATGTTCGCAAACCCAGACTCACTAAAACAAAGCACCTTTAATCCTGACAGGTGTGTCTGTTCAGATCAGTTACTCCCCCTCTCAGCATGCACCTTCAGAATATGCTGGTGTTAAATACACATCAGTAAATAAAGGAATTTGACAGGACAAAGCATACAGACAGAAAGAAGAGAGAGACATCACAGGGAAGTGACGGGTTTCCATTGGATATTATTCAGACAGCATGTAGACGAACATGCCTTTGGACACAGACTCAAACACAGCCACAACACATGGGTTACCTGGCTTCTGCCACAGTGCAGCAGTAACTGCCACTGCGCCGCGAGCTTCTGCCCACCCGGATCTCTTCTCGAGACTTGCGGCGGTTGAAGTAGTCGGTGAGTTTCCCAAAACTTGCCATTTCTCTCCCCCCCCCCCCACCTCTCAGTCTGTCTTTTGCCCGGTGTTCCTGGATAAATCTACAAAGGTATGCTTCAGTTCTGCAGAGTTTATTGGTGAGTGAACTCCTAATTTTAAATTCTACCCTCTCTTTGGATGCTCGTATGGTTCAGCCGCAGGTCCGAGACTTCCTTTGCATCATTTTCCAAAGCATCTCAAGCTGACTCTGCCTTTCTCTGCCAGGTTTGGTTCCTCGATGGCTTTCCACTGCGCATGGAGCATATACACTGACTGACTCTCTCAAAATAGTAACGTTTGTAACTGCCTACCCATCGACACAGCAGGAGCACTGCCCCCTCCTCCCCTCCGCTGGAGAGCAGACAAGAAGGAGGAGAGAGAGAAAGAAAATGAAAGAGGGAGGGTGTCTCAGCGACGATCTCCTCACAGGCTCGTGGGAGAATATGAACTGCAATGATGCTTGCACCTAAACCCACCCCCTCTTTTTCTCGCTCTCTCTGTCTCCTTGTTTAATATATATTTTTTCTGTGCCTGCTGTTTCATGCATGAGTCTCATCACTTGATGAACACAAACACAGCCCTCAATCAAAGCTGGAGAGCAGAGAACCTCGTTCTCTCCTTTCTGTCTCACCACACACCTAACTGCAATCTGGGGGACACCTGCTCCACAATCACATCTTCACCTGTTTGTCTGTGTGTGCCTGTCCATGTGTGTGTGTGTACATACTCTCCTTATCAGTAAAGAAAACAGAAGGCGAGGGGTTGAGGTTGGAAATTAGAGGAAAAAGCAGAGGAAAAAGCAAGCATACAGTGAGGGGCTTTTAGTAAAGCTCTTATTAAAGGTGAAATCCTAATGTTTTCTCACGATCATTTTGGAACTAGACCTAATGTTTGCATCTTCCCCACAGAATCTCTCAGGTGCATGTCCATTTATTTCTTTATACCCTGCAGCTTTCTGCGGTATTCTTTTCCTTTATCCACACGTTTCATTTATGATCAACTCTCCTGCTCCCCTATGAGCATGTTATTCCTTAGTTATCCTGTTATTTCATTAGTGAAATGATAAGTAATGTAATAAGTTATTCTTTGGACAGGAATTATGCAATCGGGATAAAGGACAGCTTGCAGATATTTACATACAGCTTATGAAAAGACTCAACCTTTTTAAAGTCACATTAATTTGGACTAACCTATTCCTATTTTAGTTCAGCGAAGAGCGCCAAAATTATTTAAATTTCTGCAAGAATAGTGATAGAAATAGATATTTTAAGTTTCTTTCTCAGAACAACAACAAAACAAACCCTTCTCTGCAGTTAAAGAAGTTAAAGAAGCTCAATTCCGAATTTTTTTTGTGAAATCCGATTTTTTTCTGCGTTGCCGTTCATATATTTTCAAATATATGCAACTTGTATGTGAATCTCCTGTGTGAACTGCCGTCATACAATGCAAGTGTCCCGCATGCGCAGTAGAGGACGCAATGACGTCACAGGCTAGCGTGCTCCATGTTTACGGAAGTGTAAACATGGTTGGAAAAGACTAGCGGTCTATTCCAACCATAAAAACTCATTCTTTTCAATATGTTTAAAGATAAATACTGCTCTCCGCATCATCATCTGCCATGATTGTTGTTTTTCTTGCCGCTTCTGCGTAGCAAGAGGCAGAATAGTGACCTTTGTCGGGTATTAATGACGATCAGGTCGGATGATTCCGACCTGGCCGTTCACACACAGGTCGCATTGGAAAAGATCAGATTCGTATCTAATTCAGGACCACATAGCCAAGTGGCCTGGGTTGGATTGGAAAAAAATCGGATCTGTGTTCAGATTGCAATGAAAAGATCAGATCCAGGTCGCATGTGGGCCAAAAGAATCCGATTTGGGTCACTTCAAGCTGCAGTGTGAACGTAGCCAAAGACTATGATGGTGGTGATGATGTCATGGCTTTGTTAGCTTCTGACAGGTTCAATGGAAGCGGACCTGTTCCCCCAAACACCAGACATCATTTAGACGATTGGTTTTAGGCTACATCTGGTTGGTCTGTTAGTCTTAATTTATTCCAAAAATGTTTGAAAATTGGGCAGTGTTGGGTCAGTTTGATTTTCTTCCATATTAGTCCAATAACAGACATTTAAAACAGCCGTCTTTTCAACAATCTGAAAATTACAGCCTTTCACCTTTAAGTTTTCAACCAAATGTAGACGTCGTTTGGACATAAATCAAGTCGTCTTTTCATTGTGTTTTCCAACAATTTTTGAGACTTTTGGATAAAATCTTTGTAACATCTAAAAAAATAATTCATTTTTCAAACATCCAGTCTTTAGTTGTTTTTTTTTTTTGTTTTTCTTTACTTGCGGCACATTCCTTCACTTTCTTAAGCTCTTCCAAAGCTTCTCCTTTTCCTTCCTGAGCCAAAGGCCCTGTCCAGACCGTTTACTAACATGTGTCCTGACTGATTAGGTTAGAAGTCGACAGCTTTACGTAGGAGTGTGTCACAGCCAGCAGTAAAATCTGTCCAGAGTAGTTATAGCTCTGATTGCAAATAAACATGGAGCCACGTCAAGCAGTCAGCTGTTAGTTGACTAAAAAAAAAAGGATGACATCAGGTCTTGGAATGTTTCCTTCGATCACACAATCTATTTGAGCTTTAGTGTCACTTTGGTTAATGCAATTTTCTTTCACAACCTAACAGATAAACACACAAAAAAAATGTTTAAATCAAAGAGAAAGTGTCAATGTAAAGATAATAATAATAATAATA